TGTGTGTGTGTGTGTGTGTGTGTGTGTGTGTGTGGGTGTTTTTTCCAGTGTATATAAAACATTATTGCTGTTCCTCAGAAACGAACATAATAAGAGGGTTAAAATATTTATGAAATCACATGATGTTGTCGTTCACATTTGTCTTGTGATGTTACATGGTAGTTGTTATAGTCATTCTTTGAGGGGCAGTAAGGCTTTTTTGAACATGTGTATCAGTCTCACTTCCTGTCCACATGAACAGGTCCATGGCCTCCCTGTACAGTGACCCTAAGTGGAGCTCCAACATGGAGGATGCTGTGTCCAAACTATCAGGTTCTGGGGTTGAGTTAAAACAGGCTCTGGCCTGGGTGGGTGAAAAAACTAAAGAGGAAAACTTCTCTCTCACTGATATTTGGGGAGTTCTTACCACTGCTGGGGTCATGAAACAGGTACCAGGGACACTTGCAATACAGCTTTTCTGAAATTCAACAAACACAAAAAGTTATTTAAAGTGGTTTCTCATCAGATGAATGAACGGCAGCTCTCACATGAGGTCGACAGGGACGTCACCAATCCATACCCTATCTACTGTGCTGTAGAGAAGCACAGCTTCTCAAATGGGCCTTTCAAAGGTAAATGCATGTGTCCATGAAAAATTATAGATTTTTGTGCAGCAAAGTAAAGTAGACTGACTTGTCTCTTAGGAAAATGGTTTGAAGTAAGCCCCCATGAAGCAGGATTCACAGAGTTAGGCCTCTTTGTTGAAACGTCTCTCCTGGGCAGCAAATTCAAGAGTGGAAAACTGCTGGAGAAGAAGCCAGAGATGGACATTATCCAGTTTCAAGGTGTGTTTCTACAGAAATATCATAACATGCATTTATCCATTTTTACTTGCACAAAATCATTTTTTCACATTCTGAAAAACAATTTCATTAGTGAAAGTCACACATTTGTTGTCAGGGACTTCTTGCCCCCCCCCCGTAGGGTCACCCAAGGCAAACAGGTCCTAGGTGAGGATCAGACAAAGTGCAGCCCAAAGACCCCTTATGATGAATGCCACAAATGGACTGAGTGTTCCCTCGCCCGGATGCGGGTCACTGTTGCCCCTCTCTGGAGCCAGGCCTGGAGGTGGGGCACAGTGGCGAGTGCCTGTTGGCTAGACTTTTGCCCATGGAGCTCGGCCAGGCACAGCCCGAAGAGGAGACATGGTTCCCCCTGCCCATGGGCTCACCACCTGTGGGAGGGGCCAAAGGGGTCTGGTGCAGTGTGTCATGGGCATTAGTCGAAGGTGAGGACCCTGGCAGTCTGACCCTCAGCTTCAGAAGCTGGCTCTAGGGACGTGGAATGTCACCTCTCTGGTGGGGAAGGAGCCTGAGCTGGTGTGTGAGGTTGAGAGGTTCTGACTAGATATAGTAGATATAGATCTGGCTCTGGAACCAGTCTCCTCGAGAGGTATTGAACACTCTTCCACTCTGGAGTTTCCCTTGCTGGGAGGCGAAGAGCAAAAGTGGGCTTATTGCACCCTATCTTGGTGCCTATACATTGGGGTGAACGAGAGGGTAGCCTCTCTCCATGTATGTGTGGGGGGACGGGTCCTAACTGTTTGTGCCTATGCGCCTAAAGCAGTTCAGATTATTCACCCTTTTTAGAGTCCTTGGAGGGGGTGCTGGAGTGTGCTTCTAATGGTGACTCCGTAGTTCTGCTGGGGAACTTTAATGTTCACGTGGGCAATGATGGTGAGTCTCTGACACACCACCCTTCCCCCCGGGCTGGTGCGTTGTTATTGGACTTCTGTGCTCATCATGGATTGTTCATAATGAATACCATGTTTACGCATAAGGGTGTCCATATATGCTCTTGGCACCGGGACACATTAGGCTGCAGTTCAATGATGATCTTTGTTGTTGTTCCATCTGCTCTGTGGCATATAGAGAGGGTCTGCTGGGAATGTCTGGCAGAGTCTCCAGTCAGTCTGAGTTTCAACTCACACTTCTGGGAGAACTTTAAACATGTTCCAGGGGAGGTTGGGGTTGGGGACATTGATTCCGAGTGGGCCATGTTCTGGCAGTCTAAGCGGATTACAGCTCAGATGGTCGCTGAGGCAAAAACTTGGGCGTGGGAGGAGTTTGGAGAGGCCATGGAAAAAGACTTCATTATGGCTTTGAGGCGATTCTGTTCCACCATCCTGCTTCTCAGGGAGAAAACTTTTCACCACCAACACAGTTTATGGTGGGGATGGTGCGCTGCTGTTCTCAACTCGGGATGTTGTGGGTCAGTGAGCAGAATATTTTGAAGACCTCCTCAATCCTACCAACACGTCTTCCAACGAGGAAGCAGAGTCTGGGGACCCTGGGTCAGACTCTCCAATCTCTGGTGCAAGGCATCAGAGGTGGATGAGATTTGCCCGGAGTTTCTTAAGGCTCTGGATGTTGTGGGGTTGTGTTGGTTGACGAGACTCTACAATATCACATGGATATTGGGGCAGTTCCCCTGGATTGGCAGACCAGGGTGGTGGTCCTCCTGTTTAAAAAGGGGGACTGCAGAGTGTGTTCTAACTATAGGGATCACACTTCTAAGCCTCCCTGGTAAGATATGTTCAGGGGTCCTGGAGAGGAGGGTCCATTGGATAGTCAAATCTCAGATTCAGGAAGAGAAGTATGGTTTTCATCCTGGTCGTGGAACAGAGGACCAGCTCTACACCCTCAGCAGGGTCCTGGAGGGTACATGGGAGCTCGCCCAACCAGTCTACATGTGTTTTGTGGACTTGGAGAAGGTGTTTGACTGTGTCCCTCGGGGACTCCTGTGGGGGGGTACTCCGGGAGTATGGGGTACCAGGCCTGTTGATACGGGCTGTTGGGTCCCTGTTTGACCAGAGCTTGGTCTGCATTACCGGAAGTAAGTCAGACTCATTTCCAGTGAGAGTTGGACTCCGCCAAGGTTGCACTTTGTCACAGATTCTGTTCATAATTTTTATGGATGGAATTTCTAGGAGCAGCCACAGTGTTGAGGGGATCCGTTTTGGTGACCTTAGGATTGCATCTCTGCTTTTTACGCATGATGTGGTCCTATTGGCTTCATCAGATGGTGATCTCCAGCTCTCACTGAAGCGGTTCGCAGCAGAGTGTGAAGCGGCCGGGATAAGTATCAGTGCCTCCAAATCTGAGACTATGGTCTTGAGCTGGAAAAGGGTAGACTGCCGCCTCCAGGTTGGGGAATAGGTCCTGCCCCAAGTGGAGCAGTTTAAGTATCTTGGGGT